GGAATGGCAGCAGGTTGGTGTGAGAGCATCTGCACGCACAGTGAGGCCAAGACTTTTGGACAACGGCCTGGTGTCAAGAAGGGCAGCAAAGAAGCCACTTCTCTATAAGAAAAACGTCAAGGACAGACTGAAATTCTGCAGGAAGTACAAGGATTGGACAGCAGAAGACTGGTGCAAAGTTATTTTCTCTTATGAAGCTCCCTTCCGACTCTTTGGGACATCTGAAAATTTGATTGTTCGGAGAAAAGGTGAACGCTACCATGAGTCCTGTGTTGTGCCAACAGTGAAGCATTCTGAGACCATCCATGTGTGGGGTTGCTTTTCAACCGAAGGAGTGGGTTCTCTCATAATTCTGCCCAAAAACACTGCCATGAATAAAGAAAAAAAAAAAAATTCTTCCAAAAGTCAGGATGGGTCATTCCATCAGTCAGGATTTGGACCAGAAGCTAATATCCAGCATGTCAGAGTGAATTGCAGAGGTTATGAAGAACAAGGGTCAATACTGTAAATATTGACTCATTCTTTTTTTTTTGCCAATAAAAGCAATTCAAAACTTATGATATGCTTATCATTGTTTTTCAGTATACCATAGAAACACGTAGAAAAATTATCTACAAATACTGAAGCAGCAAACTTTGCAAAACACAAAATTTATGTCACTGCCAAAACTTTTGGCCATTACTGTACATAATGTATAAAATACATAGCACTGATTTACACTGAAATTATATATATACACACACACAAACGTCTTCAAAAATGGCACGAGTAATGCATGTAACAATAAAGGCAGAGTATCTAACAATAAATAAATGAAAAATAATAAAACAAAATAGCATTTTCTTTGTTAACATTCTCCAATAATTCTCCAATAACTTCATCTGTTTTATTTACAACTTCAGAAAAATCTTTTTTTTTTCAGTGTGGGAGGAAATTTTGCATTCTTAATCTTAGAGAGTTTTAAGTGAAGACAATGCCGTTGTCCATGTCTCTTTTAAAATAATCATCCCTTTTGTCATGGTGTTCAGTGTTATCTGGTTTCCCTCCACTCTCTCACGGTGACTCCCACATAGACCCAGGGCAAGGTCCTGCTCACGAAACGCTTCAGCAGAACTGGACATTTTGTTTAGTCTTTGGCAGGACAAAATTTGGCAGGATTCATTGCTCTAAATAGACAGAGTACAGATGGTTTAACATATACACACGTAACAACTGACATATTTACCCAAGGACAGTGATGCTAATAGCGGCCCACACACTATGCAGCTTATTTTAAGCATGTTAATTATCTCTGTCCTACCAATGAATCAGGACAAACAATAGGCCACCCACGTCAATAGCGACACTGCTGTGCACCCTCATTTCAAAGTGCCTGGTCACCTAAGAGCTTTTTGTTGTCAGAACATCATAAAATCTTTTTTATCAATCTTAATGAATGCAGTCTAAGAGAGACCTCAGTAAATATTTTTAGGAACACATTACCGGTTTTTACTGTGTAACCAGCAATGTGAATTTATATCATGCAACTGAGACTTTGTTTCTGTAATTACGACTTTAAATCTCCCAAAGTGACTTTATATGTCGCAATGTGGTTGGATCTTGGAATTGCAACTTTATTACTCATAACAAAGTTGTTATAGTTTAATATAGGGTTTTTAATTTAGTTTGTTTTTATTTCATTTTCAATTTAAAATTATTTTTTAGTTTAGTTTCCGTAATTGTGCCAAGTTTGTTAGTTATTAGTTACGTTAATTTATATTTTTATTTTTATTTTATTTCTATTTCTCACACAAGTAAATTACTTGACAGGGGACAAATTTGTGTAATGTTGTTAAAATGATTCCTTATTCAGTCCAACATAACATAACTTTGCCTGCATTTTATGGATTTATGGACAACTGCATGTCCTCTGATGATCTTAATACTTGTTCAAATGAGGGTGGGCTTTAATCATTGATGGCAATTCAGACTTGTTGAACTTCTATCATAATTTAATTCTGCCATACAAAGAGTGCAACTAAACTGACATTCTTTAAAAGCCCTATTTAGAGTTTATAAATAAAATGTTAAAATGGTATTTCTCCATCAGTCACTGATTACCTCTTCACTGTCAATCCTTGTCTGCCTGATTTAAATCAAAGAGGTTATGGCTTGATTAAAGGTCCTGCCTCTGACTTAGGAGGTGGCCATCCATAGTGTAGAACTTTATGATGGCCAGTTACATTTTAGGGATTGTTGGGCCCACTTCATTAACTGTAGTCCAAATTATTAAAAACAAAAATCATTTTCAAAAATTATGTTAAAATCAAAGGATCATTTCTGCTTCGTTTTTAAGCAATGTGTGATAGTTTCAGTTTAGTTCTTAGTTAGTTTTTCTAGGGCTTTTATTTTTGGTATTTAGTTTCAGTTTTAGTGTAAGTTTCAGTAAACTGTAATAACCTTCAAAACTCTCAGGACTTTGACTTCATATCTTGAAATTGTGACTTTATTTCTCATAACTGTGACCTCATGGAATTATGTGACTTTATTCCTCTGTGACTTTATACCTCACAGTGTTACTTTATTTTATTTTAAATTCAAGATAGATTTTTACACATTTTTATTTTATATTACTTTATTTTAACCTCTATCTCACAATTACCATTTTTATGTTTACTCTGAAAATGGAGGAAACAGGCTTTGAGTAAAATCTCATGCAAACACTCAATTGAGATAGTTGTCGTGGAAATTCCCAATATTACTCTGACTTCACCACGGACAACTCAAACAACTACAGTTGTTAATATAGTAACTACAGTATCTCGGGCTAATTCCCTGAATTCCCCGAATACTTATAATACAATACAAAGAACTAGAGTATCGAGCTAATTCCCTGAATTCCTTGAATACTTACAATATAATCCAATACTTCCCTGAAGTATGGTGACGGCGTCCCGTCAAGAAGCTACTATCACTACCTCAATCACACATATGCATACAGGTCTTTAGCATCTATACACTCTCACCGCCCTTCTCAGCTGTACGCTGTTACCTCAGCCCGAGGACAGCTCTAGTTTTCCAACACTATCACTGTCTTTGCGGTGGTCTTTTGAGCGTAGAATCTTTAGTACTTCTATTCTTCAGCTGCGCAGCATATACCAGACACGACTCCCAAGTTGCTCTTTGCAGGAATGAAAGTTTTATTCACGGCCGGGAGCCCACTGGTCACAACAACCAAGAGAGACTCCCTGAACAGAAGGATGCATGAACATTTATACCTAGTAGTTGAGTAAAAATCAATGTCACTCAAGTCTTCTTCACTGTAATTGGTTATACTGATCTGGTCATTGGTTTGTCATATGACTGTTAGTTCTACTGTTTTAAGCACTTTTTAGGTAAGTATGGATTATTTAATCATAGGGACATGGTCTTTGATCTGAGCATTCTTAGTCTGCACTTTTCTGAACATTCTATGTTGAACACACCCTTTTGACTCCTTCTGAGGCCATTACACAAAATATTTCCATCACATAGTTTGACAGTTTCTTTCAGACTGAATTATTTGGTTTAATCTAGCATGGTTCCATGTAAATAAAACATTTTAGTAATGACACAATTCCCTTTATTCATAACAATAATAGATGAAATATTCATATTGAAACAATAATATGAATATTTTGGGCTGTGACCCGGGATTAAAAAGCATGGTGGACTAAATCACAATGCCAAAATTGCTTTTTTAGAAAAGCTCACAGACATAAATGCAAGTTTTTAGTGACTCCAGATGATAAGTTGTTCCACTTTAATGCAAAAGCTTCAGAAGCTTCAGCGATTTATTTTAAATTTGGGATCTCAACTCTTCTGATTTTCATAGTCACTGATTTGATTTTGACAAGCGTGCCATTTTTGGTCCAGGTGTCCCAGTGGATATGTGACTGGGTGGAGAGATCTTGGTCCAATGGTGAGCCATTCAAATTTGCCTTGCCACACTGGTTAAACCACCATCCTGTGTTGTTCTGGTTCACACTGCAGCTCTCAACAGCTTTATCAGCAAAAGTGCAGAATGGAGAACAACCGTCGTTGTCAACGTCAGAGGTACTGAAAGGGGCCGTGTCTTGATTCTGCTCTTGGTCATACCCTCGAAAAGCATCACCTGCAGGAAAGTGAAAGAGAATAAGAAAGAGAAACTGTGATAGATTGCATATTTAATGTAACTTGTCAGTAGATTTCTAGACTGTGCAACTCATAAATTAATCATCAGCAGGCCCACATGGAATATGTGGACATTATTTGCATTTCCCATGCTTTTTTGAAGAAAAAAGCAGTGTTATTGGGAATAATATTTGCTATTGGCTGACCTGCACTACCAGCATATCTGCCAAGGTGTATTGCAAAGAATTTGGTTTCATCTTCAAGCCAGAAATTGTCGTATGAAGCATAGGTGGTGGTGTCATCTTGCGAGACCAGAGACACATGCAGCTGGAAGCATGTGTTTCTTTGATTGACAATATTGAAGATTTGTCTCAAACCCAACCAGTGTTCACCTTCAGAGACACAGATAAATTCAATACCCGTTTTTTATTAAGACATTAACTGTATGACTGAAACCTGTATGAGTTTCCTTCTTCTGTTGAAGACAGAAGATATTTTGAAGAAAGTTGATAACCAAACAGTTGCTGGTAACTACTAACATTCTAAAAAATATATCTTCTTTTGCATTCAACAGAAGAAAGAAACTTATACAGGTTTGGAACAACAAGGGTGGATAAATGATGACAGAATTAAAAATTTTGGGTGAACTTTCCCATTAACTGACTAATGGTAGCCTACCTGGCAAGTGTCCAAATCCATCCAAGTACTGTGACCACATTCGTTTGAAGTCAGTGAGACCATCCGTCCTTCTCTGTATTACTGTCCATCCACCCTCCATGTAATCCATCTCACAGAACACCTGTTTAAGATGCTTAATTCATCATGTGTAAACCTAAAACCATGTTTGATTTGCTTTTAGATTAAAATAACTGTGGTTGGAAGCTTTTAAACAAAACTAAAAGAAGGTACTTTCCTCAAAGGAAACATCTGTGTTTTCTGGCTGAATTATATAAATTCCACTAGGGATTTTTGGAGAAACGGCACCTAGCGTCTCTTGGATGTCACTACAGTCTTTCCCTGTGGAATGAAAGGGAATTCACTATGAGGATATGTAAATGATAAATATTTGACAGCATGTTAATCATCTCACCGTGGGACTCCATTGGCTTTACGGAAAAGATGTCACTGTTGCTTCTCTGCACATCTGAACTGAGTGTGTTTACTTTGGCCATAAGCTCGATTATCTAGAAAAAGAAATCAAAGCAATATGTTGAAGAATGCAGAAGAGGATATGGAAGTTTGGAAATGTTAGAATACCTGACTTGAGAGAAATTCCGAGACTTTCTGCTGTTCATCAATGAGATCTCTGATCAACTTCCTAGTGTTTCTTGTATATGACACTATGGTATGCTGGAGGTTACCTAAGACAAACAACCTTCATTAAACTCTGTGAGAACCACAGTGGGTTTAAAAGAGTGACAAAGGGTAAATGTAAAGCGTGTGTAAATTATTGAA